TGTTCAGTTATTAGACACAATAGCTGATATCCCGCATTTACGCTCGGGGGCGAATTCTATCGGTCTCGATAAACGAATATCCTTTTCAACTTTGCATCCTTAATGATTTTAAATTATCAACTTTTTATTTAAATATAGGGTAATCAACTAGTACTAATTTTTGGGCACTTGTGGGGGTGCTACTCCTTCCCCACGCGTAACTAACTCCTGAACCTAATTTCTGGATTTTCGTAGACCCAAAAACTCGGTATTTTATTAAAATAAAATGTTTTATTAAAATCATCTGGTTTTTACTGTGTTCCAATCTCACCTTAAATGATTGGTGGCGACTCCTCACAATTCGAAACGATTTTCAAAGAGAAAACCCCCGAGTCGGTATCGGTCTTTCCCCGCCCGGGCGAAAACGGTGTCGACAAGAATAAAGAGGGAAAGAGATTTTCTCCCCCACTTTACGTCCAATCACAATTTTCTCATTAAATGCTAAAATCTTTTCACCTCGTGTAAGGATTAAACTACCCCGAAACCACCCATCACTTTCCAAGAAAAACTACCCAACTTCTTCTTCTTTATCGTGCTTCTATCTCTCTCTAAAAACAAGAATATATTTTCTTTCTCTCCAAAATACTTCCCCATCGCCACCACAAATTTTAGCCAAGAAAAATGGTGAGAACAAGGAAAACCCCACCCCCAACACAGAGTTTCGACCGTTTCCAAATAGCAGAAGCACGCTTCAAAATTCTTCAGAAATGGAAAGTCTATTTGAAAGATGGAGTTGTCTTTTTCGTCGAGGAAGAGGAGCCATTTGGACAGAGGTGATAGACGTAATAAATAAACATAACTAGGAAAAGTTTGCTAGCAATCCAAAAGCTGTAGAACCGGCGATTGTACGGGAATTCTATGCTCATCTTGAGGACCCATCAAACCACACAGTTTATGTTTGAGGAAAGCTCATTTGATTTTCCCCCTCTACAATCAACCGATATTTCAAGTTGGGGAAAGTTGAAGAGAAACACAAGGGATTTGTGGCAGAGGACGATCAAGAAATATACAGCGGCGTACTGCAAGATCTATGTTTCGGTTGGGCCAAGTTTGAAGGGAGTACCCCAACAAGGAAAAGAGTTTATCACCAAGCACTAAAATCGCACGTGAAACTGTGGAACCACTTTCTCAAAGGCAAGCTGATGCCAACATCTCACAACACCACTGTCATCGTGAAGAGATTGATCCACCTGTACTTGATCATTTACGGGAGAAAGATTGACGTGGGAGAAATCATCTTCGATCATATCCATGAATGCGCCAAGAGGAACTGGGGTAACCTACTGTTTTCAAACCTTATAACCGCATTTACAAGAAGAAGGTTCCTCAGGACCATTTCGAAGATTTCATCAAACCCAAGGAGGGTATCACAAAGAAAAAGGTCCCCGAGTTGATGAGTTTCAATGACGACGACCCAAAGGAAGGACTGGAGCGAGGAGCAAAATTCGTTACCCGGCCAGAATGGCTGCTGTGGTCACGCACACTCGAGAAACGCGTGAAAAGTTTGGACGTCTGGAAGACCACATGGAAATTTACTTCGAGTATGTTAAGGCTAGGGACATGCAACTCAACGCATTCATCAAGGAGTTGCTCGACCATAATGATCAGACTGCCGACCTTCCCCAATGTCCGCCTTAAATACACTGCGGGCGATAGCATATTCCATGCCTCGACATCATAAGTCCCTCCAGATGCTCCCCCAGGAGTACCCGTTGATGTGCCACCACTAGCAACGCAAGTACCACCTATACCAAAGGAAGGCCAGGGCGATACAGAAGAATTTCTCACTCCTCTTCCTTTTCAACTTCCGAAAGCAGTGATGATACTCCACCCCACTTCTTCTCGATGAAGATTTTACTCCAGCACCACCGTAAATCGAGCATGATCCTACTCAATCCCCTGTCCATACAGCACCTTCAGTCCCAGCAACAGCTACTAGTCCAGCACCAATCCCAACACAACCAAATCCTGTGACCGAGCAATCCACTCCAACACGAGCCTCATCTAGCAAGAAATGCTACAAGAAACCGCATGTCGAATACTTCAGTTGTCCCTTTCTCAACTAGCAGCAGGAGACTCTGGATCATAGAGTCCATCTCCTCCCAAACGACACCAAACGAGGGCGTTTAGTCAAGCCACCCCACCACAGTGAGTCTTTACTTTAGTTTTTTTCTTCTTCGCATAAGCATTTAGAATCATGTAGTTTAGATTTCATGTATTGAGGAAAATGCATCCCTCAAGTTTGGGGGAGGTATTGTACCATATTCTGTCATACTTTGTTAAAAAGCAATTGATGTTAATTGGTTGAGAATTTTGGTTGTCATGACACAAGCAGATTGAGATTATTGTTAGGAATGAATTAATGATGCCCAGTGATGAATGCAGAAATTTATTGCCTAGGCCAGAATTATTGTTAAGACTGTCTAAAGAAGAGAACCAACCATAGGCTTAATTCTTTGAATTTTATAAACACGATTGTAGGTTGTCTTTGCTCTAGGTAATCTGTAAAATTTTAAGGAAACAACTTTCTATTTGCCGAGACTTCAAAAATATTCTAAAGGTAAAATGAAAACTCTTTAGTGTTTAAAAACTTGAAAAAAAATTAAAAAATACAAAGGGACACTCCTCTGTGCAAAGGCATGAACAATAAAAACTATAAAACAATTTAAGAGTAGCCAAGGCATATGAGTGAATGAAAGTAGTCACAGGATGACTCTGCCCAACTAGCTTGGGGATGGAAGGTATGCTCCCTTTCACCTAGAGTGTGGAACGGTAGGTGTGATGAGTTGACTCCCCTAAAAATATATGAATAAAAAGAATAAAAGTTGATAAATAACTAGGAGTATAAACTAAGCCTTATGAATAATTTATTGCCTTGATAAATCAGGAGTGCTTACTTTAAGTTTTCAAATTACCTCTATGCATAGACTGGTTACAATCACGCGTACACAATAGCAAGGGATCCTGTCTAGGGAAGGGACTTGACTGATATGACTGTCAACATGTTGAGGCTAAACAATTTTTTTGCTGAGGGCTAAAATCTCAAACCAGATGATTTTCTTAATACTGCTTTGCCATGATAATTTTAATTCTCTTCTAGCTATTATCCATTGCTTGAGGACAAGTAATAGCTTAAGTTTTGGGGTGTGATAACTTAAGTTATTTCTCATCTAGACAAAGTGTGCATTGCATTTTTAGTTGCAATTAGTTGCATATAGGTTATATTAGATTGTGGTGGATAAGTGTTGTTTAGGTAAGATTTATTTGGTTTGACTGATGCTGCTGAAGAGAAAGGGTTGTTTGGGTTGTGTTTGTACAGGATTCCTACAGAGGAATAACATTTCAGTTGTGACAATACAAAAGTGCAGAGGCCAACAGAACATATGAGAACGTGAGGAGCAGATTTATCTAGCCAAGGCAAGATTTATTTGAGGAAATCTGAAGCATGTATGGCTAAACTGCCTAAGTCACACGCCAGTTGGATAACCTACTTCACGTGCAAGCAAGCCTCAATTATTTCGATAACCGCCAATCGCCTTTCCTTTTTAAGTTTGGGCAATTAATAACGGCTAGTTAAGGAAACTCCAAAAGAGGAGGCAAGGAAGAAGAGAGAAGAGTTTTACCTTAGGCGTGAGCAAGCAACTACAGTGCTTTCCCACCGTCTACCCACCAACCTTCCTTGGTGTCCCCCATAGCCAGACGATAGTAGAGCGGTGATCAAGCCTTGAGAGAGGGTGATCACCATGGTAGGCGCGGTGCTGATCAGGATTGTCATGATATAGCCCCCAGTTTTGGGAGTCATTCTTCCTTTGTTTTTAATTTTGCCTCAACCAAACTTTTTTGAAATCATTGAATTATTTTATTAGTTCATCAATATTAGGATAATACTTAGTAAGACTTAGTTTGTGACATTAGTTCTAGTTGTGGTAAAAACATATTCCTAATATAATCCCTGTGGAGACAATACTCACTCACTACTATATTACTTGCATCGATTGTGTATACTAGCACAGATTTGCTTGCCATAGCATATACATTTACAAGCGATCAAGTTACCAAGATTACCTCCAGATAGAGAGGTAGAATTTCAAATTGAGATGATTTCGGGAACAACTCCGATTGCAATAGCACCATATCGTATGGCTCCGAAAGAATTGCAAGAGCTGAAGAATCAATTGCAAGAGTTGCTGGAGAAGAGAATTTTGATAGAAGCTCATGTATTGGTTCAACCTGAATCTGGCACGAATTTTGGGGTTTTTAGTGACGCTTCCCATAATGGATTGGGATGTGTATTAATGCAAAAGGGGAAAGTGGTAGCGTATGCATCCAGACGGTTGAAACCACATGAAAAGAATTATCTAACTCATGACTTGGAAATGGTTGTTGTAGTGTTCGCTCTCAAAATTTGGCGTCACTACCTGTACGAGAATGTTGTTACTTGTATATGGATCATAAGAGTTTGAAGTATCTAATGACTCAAAAAGAGCTTAATTTGAGGCAAAGGAGATGGGTTGAGTTCTTAAAGGATTATGATGTAATAATTGACTTCCATCCCGAAAAAATCTAACGTGGTAGCAGAAGCTCTAAGTAGAAAAATGTTTGCAACCTTACAAGCTATGGACGCAAGATTATCTTTGACTGGAGACGGTGGTCTATGTACAGAGTTAAAGCTTAAACCAACATGGTTGGATCAAATTGGAGAACTACAAAGTAAAGATGAATTGTGTTTAAAAAGAGTAGAACAAGTAAAGAATTGAGAAATTAAAGATGTTGAGATTAAGTCGGATGGAAATTTGTATTATAAAGGAAGAATTGTGATACCCGACGATGAGGAGTTAATGAAGTATCACCGAATTTGTGTCTAGGTGTTTAGTATGTCAAAAGTCAAAGCCGAGTATCAAGTCTCATCAGAATTATTGCAACCGTTTTCCATTCCTCAATGGAAGTGGGAAAATGTGACGATGGACTTTGTTTCAGGGTTACCCCTGACTCTAAACAAAAGAGATTCAATCTGGGCAATTGTTGACCGATTGACCAACTCAACACATTTCCTTCATGTCAGAAATGATTTCTCTATGGAGAAGTATGCGGAGCTGTATATCAGAGAAGTTATTAGATTGCATAGAGTGTCTGTTTCCATCGTTTATGATCGAGACCCTCAATTCACTTCAAGATTCTGGAAATCCTTGCATGAAGCGTTGGGGACTCGCTTAAATTTTAGTACGGCCTTTCACCCTCAGACTGACGGGAAATCAGAGAGGATTTCAAATCTTGGAAGATATGTTGAGAGCATGTATAATGGAATTCAAAGGGCGTGGGAAAAGTATTTACCTCTGGCAGAGTTCGGTTACAACAATAGTTACCAAACCAGTATTAAGATGGCACCCTATAAGGCGTTATATAGAGGAAATGTCATACTCCATTAAACTGGTATGAACTCAAAGATCTAAGCGTTCTTGGTTTGGATTTGATTCAAGATGTGGAAGAGAAATTCAACATAATCTCAAAGTGGCATTTGATCAGCAAAAGTCCTATTCTGACCTTAAAAGAAAAGAGATTGAATTTGAAGTTGGAGATAAAGTTTTCCTGAAGGTATCTCCCTGGAAGAAAGTATTACGGTTTGGTCAGAAAGGAAAGTTGAGTCCGAGATTCACCGGGCTATATGAGGTTGTTAAGCGGATAGGACCAGTAGCATATCAGTTATCTTTACCACCGGAAATGGACAAAATTCATAACGTCTTTCATGTATCCATGTTAAGGAGATATATATCTGATCCCTCACACATCGTTACGCCAGAGCAAGTAGAAGTCCAACCTAATCTGACATATGAAGAAGAACCGTTGCAAATATTGGCTTATGAAGTCAAATAGTTAAGGAATAAAATGGTTCTGTTGGTCAAAGTGCTATGTAGAAATCACAAAGTAGAGAAAGCCACGTGGGAACGTGAAGAGGATATGCGACATCAGTACCCTCATTTGTTCGTGTAATGAAAATTCGAGGATGAATTTTCTTAAGGTGGAGATTTGTAACATCCTCAATATCAGGTTAGTGACCAAAGTGTGAGATTTTAAATTTCAGTGACCATATTAGATAGATTGAAAAGTATAAGGACTTAATTGGAAAAATTTGTGTAGGATGCATATCAAAGGAATGAAAGATGGAAGGGTAAAAGAGTCTTTTAGCAAGGGAAATGAATTAAAAATTTTAGCCAAGGGATTTTATAACACGTGCAAAAGGGGGTTATGGGATTTCATTTTCCAGATAATTCCTTACTCTTCATCATTTCTCCTTTTCTTCTTCGTGAGCTGATAGCTAAGGTAAGAATTCCTTTCGTTGAATAATTCTTGTAAATTATACATATTTTAGATTCTTGGAAGATTAGGAAACCTAAACTAAGGTTTAAAGTGGTTTAACATTCAAAGAATAGCAAGATATGGAGGATTTAAGGTGTGGAGTTTTTAAGTGAAAATTTGAATAAGAAGGTTTAAATGAATTTAGAAGTTGAATTTGACTTTTCATAGGTATGAATAAGAAGTTATAAGTGTTGGAACAAATTTTGGATTACATGGAAAAATTAGTGAGATTCTTAGTTTTAATAATTTGGGAGATATATGGAAGATAATAAGGTGTTGGAATGATAAAAGATAGTTAAAGTATCTATTGTTGAGTTTGGTAGTATAACAAGGGCTTTATATATGAAAATTGGGTGAAGTGTTTATAATTTTCGGGTGAAAATAGGTTGTTCTGGGCAAGGGGTATCGATACCCTATGAATGGGTACCGATACCCTAAGACCAATTTTGATGAATATCTTCATGAGGTACCGACACCCAAAGTAGGGGTATTGATACCATAGATACCGATACCATTAAGCATGTATTGATACCTGTAAATATCGAATTTAATTTGGGTACCAATACCCCAGTAGTGTATCGATACCCTTCTGAAGAGAAGTATCGGTATCGTACTTAGGGGTACCGATACCTCTTAAGGGAAAAATGTGAATTTTTTTCCTTAAGTAGCTTAAGTTATTAGAATCGAATTATATGTTTAGGTTTCTGATAATGTCTTGGAAATTATATTTATGTAGATATTGAGCCTACATGAGCTCCGTAACCATTTGCAAGTAAGAACAATCGAGGGAAAGGCAAAGAGTTATAGGTGAGTGCATATGCATAGTAGGATTATAATTGTATATTAAACTTTAGACTTGTGATAAGTCTAGAGTCAATACACTAATACATGATTACATTCTATATTATGATACATGATATGAATTTATACCATATGTATTATGTGACATGCTTTAAATGAATATGTATGAAAAGTTACATGAGCCATGTGATAAAGGTAAAAAATTATGTCTATGAGATACACTATGTGAATTGTAAAAAGCCAATGTTATATAGATGAGAGCTATAGGTATAGTTGGCATACCATGAGTCGAGGGTCTATGCGGTCCTTCGGGACATATATGTATCATTTGGAACATTTATGAGGTCCTTTGGGATATATGATTGGTCTTTGGAATATGTATATGATTCTTAAGGAATTTCTATGTGGTCCTTAGGGACATTTTTTATGGCACTGCGGTGCAATTCTACACGGTACTTCGGTGTAAATCTACGTGACACTTGGCTGCATTTATATTAGTTGTGGTGACATCATAGTGCACAACCTTATTGTACTCGTATACCTTAGGTTCTCAGTATAATACCATGGGCTAGTGAACTTATGAATATGAATTCATGATTGGTTAATTTATGAGCTTATGTGTAGGAAACATAGTTATGTAAATTGCATTGATTAAATATATGATTTCATTACACTTCATCACATTATGCATTATTATTATATTTTATTTCTATTATTGTTATGCCTCACTAAGTCGATGACTTAGCATGTAAGTGTTTTACATGTAGGATCTGAGAAGGTAGACAATCAAGATTAGTCAGTTGGGACAACATTACTCCTGCAACCATCAGATCAGAAGCAACTTAAAGTGTAAGTCATTTTGTTATGTAAATCACTGTTGGCATGTAACCAAAAGTTTAAGTTGTGTATACTCTAAGTATTTTGTGAACTTGGTATAAACCTATGTATAATATCGTATTTTCTTAATATAAGTTCAAATGTTTTATTATTTTAGTTAAGTTATTGTTTTAAAAAGTCAATGTGACATCTCGAACTCGTATCCGGGTCGGATACATGTTGGGGGTGTTACAACATGAGTATAACATAAGGTGTGCACTAGACACATCACAGTGTCAATCTTAACTGAAACATATAATGCACTTCAAGTGCAATCATAACATGAGCACCAATAGTGCAGATCATTACGTACACGAATGTACCATAACTTAAGTGATAACTGGAAAGTACTCAACTTAATGGCATGCCAAATGTACCTACAACTCGCAGGGCAACATACAATGGGCTTATCTATCATAATAGAATCATTAATTAATCAACATTTGAAAATCATAAGCCTTTAAATTCATCATCATAAAAATCGTACTTAGGCAGTTCACATCCAAAATCATTCATAGAACTTATTGAAAATATTATGGAAATCATCAATAATTAAAATTTATAAATCATACTTGAAAATAAAATGAGATTGACTTATCGCAAGTCGTTCTCAATCATAATAATTAAATAAATAAACTACTCTCACTTTGATACTTTATTTATAATTCAAATATAAGCATCATTAAGTTTTAAATTTAATCCTTTACTTTCAACTGCTTCAATTACATAATTTATCAAAATTTCATACTCTGGTAGTTTGTACTACCTTCAAAGAAATATTATTCTATATCAGTATAAATTCTTAAAAATTATTTTGTTTATACCATTAGAAACTATACTCGAATGAATCTAACCACATAAGGTACTTCTTCTAGTTCAACTTGTACAATTTATAGCGAATTTTTAAAGTTGACTTACAAAATTTGTTTTGAGCATAATCTGCTGCCCTATTTTCTAACTTATCATCGATTAAAAATTTATATCTTTTTGTGTACACCTCTAAATCAATATCCGTTTTTTTTAATTGAAACTAAACTGATATACAAATCGAATGGTATAGATATCATTCTCTAATCACTTCTCTATAATTTTTGGTGATTTTCTAAACTTATTATTCAAATCATAATTTCTAGTCAACTTTCCCTAATTAACATCTTTAGTTTATTCCATAATTCTATTAGCTTTCCAAATGAACATTTATACATGAATCACAAATCTCATAATATTTAGGAGTAACTTCTTACCATAGTGACTCCGTTACTGGCTCATCGTAAGTCAAAGTTCGTACGTAAACATAAATACAAATTAAATATGCACTCACCTTTGCCTCACTATTGAACATTTTCTACGATAATCTTCTCAATCTCGCACTTTCCTTCCCTTTCGAGTCACTTGGATCACTAGACTTATCTTGGTCTGGCAACATCATTTAATAACATAAAATATTCAAACTATATGATGGTATCGTACTAAAATAATCTAAACTTAATAATATAAAAGTCTATAGAAATAAAATCGATAATTAATCAATAAAAAACTAAATCATAAATCCATAATAATTTCAACTTCCCAAAATCTTCATTTGATTCCATAAATATTTATTTTCATCATCCTCCCTTCAACTGTTACAAATTTCACAATTAAACCACTAGTTATGAATTTCCTTTTTGAATTCATATCAGCCTTTCCATTTAATTCATAATGATCCTTCACCATTATGATCATTTCACATAAATTACTAAAATTTCCAGCATTAAAATTTCATACTAAAATAATACCATCGCATTTGAAAATTCATAATTAAGTCCCAACTTTTGAGACTATTCAAATTCCATCACCAAATTTACCCAAATTTACACTTTGATCCCAAATCACTTATTTAACTTAAAATTCTAGCATTCTATAATTAAAATTCAACATTGAATACTCCAATTTACACATTTATGCATAAATGTCCCTCAATTCTCGAAACATGCAAACTAGCCCTTTTTCTATTTCAAGGTTCTAAATTAATTCAAATTAATTTCCAAAGCATGTAGAATCATTCCAATATTAATTCTAAACCATAGGAAATTTTTGAATAATTTTCCCCTATTTTCCCCCTTTGGCGAATCTTCATTAAGCAATAGGGCAAGGATTTCATTCAAATTCAAGCATGAATTCAAGCTCCTAAGATCAAATTCATGCAATTCCAATTATCATAACATCAAATTAAATCAAAATTCAACCAAATTTCCCAATAATCCCTAAC